TTTCTTTTTTATAAACTTTTTTTTTTTTTTTTTAATATATATTAACACCACACTAGGACAGCCCAGGAGCTCGCTTTGGTCAGTGCCCTGGCACTGACACTGATCAGCAGGAGACACTTTGGGAAGCAGTGCAGAAGCACGGAAGGATCCAGCTCATAACTATGCTGCTCCGTGACCAGTGATTTGGAGTCATCCTGAGCAAGCCATTTCGTGTAGACCGCCAGCTACCACAACCTCTGGGTGACTATCACCCCTGCCTAATCCCTTTTTTAACTCCTTTATTCTTTTCATGCCCACAATGGCCTGCCGGAAAGGTTTTGCTGGTTAAACACACCTTGCATGGAAAAGTCCTTCCTTTTATTCTAAGCCAGCTCCTGCCACAGCACAGAATCACCGGGTCTCGCAACTGCATTCTCCGTAACCCCACGCTCATTGCTCATCCGGAATACCCAGCCGAGCTAAAGGTACTTGGGAAGAGGACAAATTGACCCATCTTACCCCCTTCAGCCCTAAGTACCGTAGGACACTCGTTCAGGCTTTGTATTGCCCCGGTCCCAACTGCGTTCAAAGCCTGTGAGCTCTTCTGATGTGCTCTGGCTTGAGGTTCTCCTTGCTCTGAGCTAGTCCCTGCGATGTATTCTTTAACCGGCATCAAGCAAAGTCATTGTGCTTTCTATTTTTTTAATGACTTATAAGCTTTTTTAAAAGCAGTTGGACAGAGCTGGTCGGAGTCATCTAACAGGATCTACAGGTATCACTCATTTTTAACTGTTACAAGAATGATTTTCAGGCATCAAAAGCTGAATAGGATTACAGGTGGTGGTCAAGGGTGCAGAGTAAGGGGTAAAAGAGCCATAGAAAAAAAAAAAATTATAAAACAGGTACTAAACGGATGCGTAATTGAAGTTTCTGTTAAAAACCTGATCACCTCTCTCCCTCTTTTCCAACACTGACAGTTTAGTCAGCATATTCAAAGTGAACCATATTACTGGATGCAGCTGAGCAGAAATTAATCTTCTTTCCCTTATGGCCAAATTAGTAAGTATTAAACACAGAAATGGCGTTTGGCCATCAGTATCTGAAAACGCCATTAGAAAGACCATATTCTAACTGACTAAACACCAATATTCCAAGGCAGAGAGGAGAAAATGTTGTGCTGACACCCTAAATTTCTGAAAAAATTAAAGAGAAAAAAAAAAAAAGGAAAGTTCTCAGAAATACAACGATGGAGACTACCAGCTGGCATGACAAGGTGTTCCCTGCTGTAAAACCAGTAACAGATCTTGAAATCCGCATGCTTGCAGCAGGACTAAGCTCACTGCTTGGATTTGCCTCCAGAACCCCAATACCCCAAGGAAATAAGGAAGGGACATCTCGGGGAGCAGGCAGTCCCCCGAGCAGATGGCTGGGCACTCATCCGAATGGACACGCACGCGTGGAAGGAAGTGGTAGGAGATGGTGGGGTTTTGAACGCCATAGCAACTCGTCATGTAAGTCCCCTGATCATCCTGGTGCCAGGGGCCGGGGCTAACCATCCACCCGGTGCAGGCAAGCCGTGCCGCGCTGCCGGCATCTCCCGCAAGCGGACGCCTGGCTGCCAGCTGAGCGAGCAGCGGCTCTTCCCAGGAAAAGGCACGCACACGCTTTTGCAACCCCAGCAGGGATGGAGCAAGCTGCCAAGGCGGGGTAATGCCTGCAATAATAACCAAGTTTGATATGGATTTTTAAAAAATAATTTAAAAAAATTATAATTTTTAAAAAAGCAACTGCAAAGAAAGAGAAGCACAGTATGCAAACAAAACTGCTCTTTCCCATCTAAATTTATGCTGCCAGTTTAAGGAGTTTGCGGTCACCTGTGATGCCATGACAGACCAGGTCAGAAAGTTCACTGTATATAGAATCACAGGGGGACAAGTCACTTCAAACTACAATCAAGAAACTTTTGGTTAATTTTTTTTTTTTTTTTTTTTAACCTGAAAATCTTGAAGGTATTGCAGGGGTAGTGCTTCCTGCTGGACACAACCTGTTCACTGCAACGACGCAAGAAATCTCGGTTTATCCTCTGCCACCATACGGAAGTATTGCTTGACATGCAAAGATTTTACAAAGAATAGCTTGTATTTTCTTTAATATTCCGATTCAAAGAAAGCAAGTGTTTCTAGTCAATTTAAATTTTATGTAAGACTATAAAAATATGCTTTTTAATTTGAGCTAAACAAACTAAAATAGTCCCTTTTGTCTTTGGTTATCAGTTGAGGAACTAAGAGAAACAATGTTTTTGGTGTTAAACCTACTTCCTTTTCCTACACGTTATTTTTAGAACAGTATTTTTACTTGACGCATACCAGCATTCATCTTTACAGATTTACCTGAGAGTTGACGATTAAGCCCCAAAGCGTCAGAGGCACGGGAAATAAGATGACAAGACAACCAAAGTGCACGAATCCAGTAGTCATTCTTGCCACAAGCACTTCAGACAGCCTGCACGGCCGCTTGTGTAAATGAAGATCTCGGTGTTGTTTGCATATAAGAGAAATACCCCTTTTCGTAGTTTCATTTCAAAAGAAACCTCAGAGAAATAACGAAACTGGAATTTTTCTAGGGTCTTACAACAGTACCAAAAAACCCCCAAGACCTTTTTCTCTTTAGTACATCCATTCCAAGATACCTCTGAGTCAGTTATGGCTCTTTGGAAACAAAAACAAATCGATATTGTCAGGGCTGCACTTTTTTCAGGAACTGGCACTAAAAATTTGGAATCCAGCTGGTATTTTCTAAACTAGCTTCATTCCTGACATAAAAGAAGTCATACAGAGATATATCCTCTCCACTATGTGTTCACAAACAGCTGATTTCATCTCCCTGGGTGTATAATAGAACTTGAACTTCAGACTCCGCAGACTCAAGTCACTCACCTGGAATGATTCCAGCAGCAAAACCTGAGAACTAAAAATCAATTTGCAGATCACCTCAGTTTCACTCCTGGAGGGTATAACGTATTTTCCTGCCTTCCCCACAGTATGTAAAGATACGCTCACTCTCATTAGTATAGAAATTTATAGAGCAGGAAAAGGAACTGCAAATTTTGTTACACTTGAACCAAGTGGCATTACTGCTATTAAATTGCCTTTGGAGGAAGGTATGCATGCAAGGGGATGCACGCGCTTGCAGGAGGGGACAAGGGAATTAAAGTTCTTTGTGTTTTTTTCAGAATTACAACCAAGAAAACATTAATTACTATAAGCACACCTCCTCCGGTAAGATATTCTTTGCATTCAAAATTTAATAGATCATATAAATATAATATAAAAATATGGAAAAAGTTATTTAAATGACCTCAACAAATCAATTCTTAGTCACTGAAACTGTCAACAGGTTGTGATTTTTTTTTTTTTTTTAAATTTCTCACTGTATTAGAACCTCACAGCTACCATCCCCAGTATTTAAAAAAAATTAAGTTTTCTCTACAAGCTTAATTTGAGGGGCAACAGAGCTTACTGGCGTGCATTACTGAAATAATTACATAGAAACCACTTGCTCTTCACCAGTATCATCTCTACGCCAAGCTTTGAGAAACCACTTCAGGATGGCAAATTAATTCTCCCCGGAGAAAAAGAAAAACTTGACTTAAAATTTTGTTTCTGAAGTTGTGAAAAGTCAGATAATGGCACCAGCCAGCCTCCTAGTCAGTTTTGAGCAGCCATCTTTAATAAGGTATAACATAACTTATTTTCAATAACTAAGCATTGCCAAACCAGAGTAGCTTTGCCTCGAATTCTTCTTGCTGAGTGACTTATTTTAAAGCTTTCTGCATGAAGTCATTCAACCTATTAAAAAATTAATATCCTTTTCCATCCTGAAGACAGCATTAGCTATCCATCTCCCGTCCCCAACGCCCAGGCTCTCCCCGGCAGTCAGTGTTGCAGGGGACAGAGAAGGCTGCACTGGGTTTGCAGTGCCGGCTGTTTCGAGGTGCAAGTTGGGAACCCTCCGGCTGAACCAGGAGGGCAGGTAGAGATTAGCTCCGGATGAACAGGCAGCAAAACACAGGGGCTTTGAAAGGTGTGGGGGGGGAAAAGAGATACTGGAGAAGTCTTCAGATGAGTCCCAAAGGGGAAACCAAAATACCGACCTAAACCAGATGGAGCTCCTGTTATCTTTAACCTGAACAAATCGGCTGTATCCACCCAACGCCCGCGCTCTTACCAAGGTGTGCCGCTTCATGTGCTCCCGGCGGGTGAACTTCTTCCCACAGATCTCACAGGGATAAGGTCTTTCTCCTGTGTGGGATCGCATGTGTCTCTTCAGGATGCACTGATGCATGGCTGAAAAACTGCAGTACGGGCACTTGAATTTCTTCCTGATGACTGTGAACTCATTGACTATAAGAGAAGGAAAACACAGAGATTACTTTCAGAATGTCTCAAAATGGTCAGTCTTATCGCTTAGTACTTCACTATTAAGTTAGTTCACTGTGAAATCACACTCTCCCCTCTTAACCATCTACAATTTTTTTTAATCCTTACACTATATCATTGCACTTATATTATTAAAGCTAAAAATTTCAGGTACCTTAATCAGAGAAGCTTTCAAACAAGCTCATACACAAACATTTACCAACGGTCTGCAATGCACATTGCCTAATGCTTGATAAATGGCAAATAAAAGAGGGCTGACAATCTGCTATAATTCTGATTTATTATAATGAATTATCCTAAATATCAGGATGTAAAATTCTAACACTATTATTTGTGGAAGAAGTAGCTAGCCATGAACAGACGACCACAAACGTAACACCTCGACAGTGCCATGCGCTTCAGTTTTATTTATGGGGCGATGCAAGATCGTCACACACTCCAGGAACACTTCAGTGAGGGTGCAGAGACTCAGGATTACCCAGCAGAAATGGGACAGTTACAACAAACGCACTCTACATTATCCAGTTCTCAACTAGTATTACCACTGCAGCATGGATCAGAAATAGAAAAGGATGCATAACGTTGAAATACAGCATGACCCTTGCAAGCTTCCTTACAAGACAACTGCCCTCGATGGACTTTTTTTCTGTCTGTCCCCCCCAGTTGTATTTTGCTGAACTAGAAAAGAGATGAATTCTTTGAAGCCGTTCTGACGCTGTTGATTTTTTTTCTTCTTGTCATCTCCTTAGAAGCACACTGAAAGCGGACCCAGGGGACACGGACAGTATTGACAGCCCAAGGGTCTAATTTGCCAGAAGAATGCACATGGCAGCTGCCTTGGTATGTCCTCCTCCAAACAAAGTGCAATACGCAAAATACAGCAGGTGAAAACAGAGTATTTGCTACTCCCTGAAGACATCCACCCACTATAAACTTGGAAGCCACTGTCCACCTGGATATGATTTTAAATCTCCACCTTCTAATAATTCTATAGCTTCCCATTAGTATGTTAATTTTAACCTACTTTTCTCATAATTATTGTCATTTTTCAAAGCAATATATTGTTTACATAACAATGAGGGGAAAAAAGAAAGTGAGTTCTAGTTAGTCACCTTAAGTAGACTATGGTGTATGTAAATGGCTCTTGGTAAATGAAAACAGCCTATGTAAGAGAGCTAAGGGAAAAGGAAAATGCCAGACCTACTATATAGCTTCTAACACACCGAGGACTTCGCAATATTTTTAGACGCTTATTGAAATGTTCTCTCCTACAAATGCCCTACTAGCTGAATGTACCATGCATGCCCTCAGTGTAACACAGATAGTGCCCTGGGAGTTACACCGTACAAGGAAAAACAGCTACTGAAAAACGACCTTTTTTAAGAAAGTCAGTAGCCCCATGTAAACCATGACATTTAATACCGAATTGGTGAGATTTTTTTTCCTTCTGTTTTCTAAATTTGCTTTGTCTTGTATTTGCAATACAGATAAAACAACGTCAAAAGTAACTACATTTGTCACTCACGTAGAAGAGCAAACTACGTGACGCTATTAAGAGACATCTTTAACTAAGGTAACACTAAGGTAACTAAGGTAACATAATCAGAACAAACATTTTGACACAAGCTCATCTTAGAAAAAGGTATTCTAATTAGTTTTTTATTGTTCTAATGCAGACTAAAAGCACGGTTCAAGATCTTAAAAGCTGCTGTGATGCAAATTTTGTCTTAGCATTTGTTTTGACTACTTGGAATTAAACATATCCTCCGCACAGGCAACTTTGTGGAAAAATCACTTCCTTTGATTAACAGTTGGAATTGGATCCAATATTCCTATATTCTTTTCTTATGCTCCTAACTTGCTGCTTTGGGTGCTCAGCAACTGTGGTGGGTCCGTCCTACAGGTGCTTTTTTTTTTGGTGGTTTGGTGGGGTTTTGCCAGCACATTTGTAAAGCTGTCAAGAGGATTTTCTAGCCCAAGGGGAAAAAAAAAAAAAAAAAGTGCCTACTCACCTGGGCCATGGCTGCAATACTGACGACAGGGAAAGTGAATGCTACAAATATTTTATTTGCCCGACAGTGAACATTACTCACTGCCATCAGGCAGAATTCTGAAGTAACTATGCACTTGCAGTGCTTTGGGAACCTCCCAGAGGAGATACCTCAACACAGCCTGATGCCTGGAGCCTTGCGCAGGCTCTTGTTGATAACTGAGCAACCCAGTCCTCCTCCTACCCACCCCCATACCTAGCTTCTGATTTACAAGATTTTTTTAATGTTTGGGGTTTTTTTAACAACCAGAATATGAAAACTCTTTCTCTTTTATATTAAGAAAAATTATTTTTTGCTTTATCTTCTCCTTTGGATTTGACACCCCTTGTCTATACAATCAGAGACAAGGAGCCCACTTTCTTTTACGGCAAGCATCAATTTTATGATGCAAAGCTACTGATGATAAATACGTTTCCGGTCTGATCTTGTAACTGCTCAATGATTAGTGATAGGCCACACAAACACTTACATTCCCCAGGATCACTATACACCCATTACTATGGAGTCTAGACAAGGTAAGGAAGCTATAAGCTGATCAAGGGAACACGTAACCCTCCTTCCTCCAATCCAAAGCCACGTCCAGTACTACTCAACAACTCAAAGGTGCTACACGTGCCAAGCACAGCTAACAGGACAAGGTGCTCAGCAAGTCAGCTCTAACCGCCACACTCTGGAAAAAACTGACACGGAGATCCTGACCGCAACCAGATCCCAAGATTATGAAATAAAAGTGCTTTAGAGAAGGGAATGCCACAAAATCCGGTATTTCCTACACCACTAGATTGTACCTGATCCCGTCATCTCATAAATGACCAGGTGCCTGCTCTCATTTACTGTCCGTACCTGTCCCTTCACTTTATGGCTGAGCTACTGCAGAAGCTGAAAAGGCAACTCCAAACCTGATGTACGCAACCTGCACGACCGCCACGCTACTTTCACACACAAATAGCCACCTGTTTCCAACGCACAAATGTTTTTCCAAAAACATATTTTTTAACACTTTCTGATTTCAAAGATCCCTCATGCTTACTTTTGCCTGCATTCAGCTTAAATCACTCAATAATAATTTTTTCAGCTTCTAGTACACTTAAAAATAGTCACAGAACACTTTTTGCAGCTATGGTTTTATTGAAAACTATTTTTTCACCAAATAGTATCTACAAAAATAAACACCTGAAAAACAACAGCATTGTTAGAAAAATAACTGTATTGCAGAGTTAACATTTTCACAGTACTGTTAAATATATGCACCCCCAAGTACATATATTTATTGAACAACATACCAACTTTGGTATGAGCACAATCTTTTGTCTAAGTGACAATATTTTATAGAGCTCCCGTATAGCAGCATTAAGGTCCTAAGAAATAATCTTTAACAAGATCATCAAGGCCATTAACAGTAGCACCATAGATAACTAACTACTGGGCAGAACTACAGTGGATTAGCACCAGGAAACAGAGAAAGTAATACAAACAGTGCCACAGTAAAAATTTACGTACTTAATTTCACTAAAATATTTACAGAAGATGTGCATTTTTAAACCCAACACAATAATGCTTGGAAAAAAAGTCTTTGGTATTGTCATCTCAAGTAAATTTACTTACTTCAGTAGGGCTGTTAAATGAAATAGGCTCCTACGTCCCTGACTTGAGAAGGGAAAGCACTCGCAATTTATTGCCCGACAGAACTATTTTATATTAACTCTGTACACCAAAACGTAGTTGTTAATCTCTGAAATACTACAGTCATTTCCTTATTATGAAGAATTCACAAACTTTAACATTAATTCTTGTCCACTTAATCCTCATATTTAAGGTAATAAATAGCATGATGCAATTTTTAAATGACAAAATTACAATTCCCATCATCTTCCCATGCCGTTTTTTAATGGGAAAATCCTGCTTTGAAAAAGTTTTCTACAGAAACTCTGTAAGCCTCTGCTACATTATACCCTATGGTTCTAACATTTAAAAAAACCCCTACTCCTGATCCTGAAGGGAAGCACGGGAAAGTCTCAGCGCTGAAGTCAGGAAGCACTCTGATGTACAGGCCAAGTAAAATACTACTTAAACCTGTATTAGAAAGAATGAGTTGACCTGACTATAGGAAAATAATTCCATGTTGAATTAAATTCTAAAATATGAGAAAAATGAACAAACACGAAATGTCACTAACTATTACCACGTGAACAAAGCCCTTTAAAATTTGCTTAAATTACTTTTGCTGGTATCTTATTTTTCTGATTCAGAAAAATCCTACCATGCTGCTCTCAAATTTCCAGATAAGACTAATTTTGATCACAACCTTCTCTTCTGAGCTTTCTCCTTCCTCACTTGCTGGTTATTTAAGAGCAGAGTAAATTACGAGGCAATTAAACTGTCATCTGTAACAAGGGAAGATGACAGACTATACACTATAGACGTTCACAGACAGTGGTGATCCACAACACCAAAGAAATCAATGGGAACAAGAGCGAAAAAAATGAATGTGACTTTGCAAATAAAAAAAAAATTAAAAAAAAAATAAAATTGAAGTATGGTGTACTATACTGATTATATAGGAACATATTCTCAACTCCGACTGCACTCCGCTCAAAGAAAGAATAAGAACTAAGCCAAGCAGGGAAACTCTGGCTTCCCAATCCTCAGAAACCAGCCCTGATGCAGCAAGGAGCCGTCTCCCCAAAGCCTCGACTCAGCAAGCACAGGCAGAGCAACGTTGCACCAGACTATACCTGTTCCCTCTCTAGGAGCACAAGGGCAGCAGGAACCGGATGATCTCTCTCATCCAGCTTTCCACAGGAAACAGCTTTGCAAGAAACTCTCCACTGGACACCCCCAAGGCTGCTCAAGTTCACTTTGTGCACAACCAAATATTTCTCATTTTTGTCTCCCTTAGATGAGACAACATTA